ATAGTAGTTACTGTAGCTTTTATCAAGTGGTCATATTGATACACTATGCTGCCGCAGTTTTGAAGCATCAGCTCATTTAACTCTATGAATTAGTTGCTGTTGTTTTTTTTTTTTGCAGAGAGGAAACTGAGGCTTAGAGAGATTAAACAAATAGTGGAGCCAGTCCTGTACCTCAGTTCTGAGGGGCTCCAAAGCCTATTCTCTCTGCCTTGCTGCCTCCTGACATACAGGTGGGGCCATGATCTCTTGTGTAGCAGACCAGTGTTGGTTGGTAAACAGTGTCCTGTTCAGTCTATCCCTTTACGTGGCTCTGTCCTTATGGCCTCTATCCCTGACATTATATTATAGATTTATTTGCTTATTGCCTGTCTCCCTAATGAGAACATAAGATCTAAGAGGGTAGGGACTCTGTTTGTCTTATCACAGCTTCTTTATTGTGTTCCTAGAACAGTACCTGGTACATAGTAGTTGCTCAAAAAAATATTGCAAAATTGATGATAATGTTAATAGTTGTCACATGCTTACCACATGCCAAATGCCTGGCATGTGTTAACTCAATTCCTACCCATTTCTGTTGTCATCTCACATGAGAGAACAAGGTGACAGAGCCACAACTTGGATAAGAAACTTACTCAAGTTGCATGGCTCAGAAGAAATAGAGCCAGGATTCAGAGGCAAGTACTTTGGCTCCAAAACTCAGGTCCTTAAATACTGAGCTTTACAGCCTTTTGGGAGTGAACGAATTATTAGTTAAAAGAGATTTATATGAGCTATAAAATGGACTTAGTAATGCATTTCAAAGTAAATCGTTCATAAAAATAAAAATTTCTAAATAATTAGGTAATATTTTTTTCTTATTAGGAAAGGACATTTAATGATTAAGACAGGTATCTAGAGAAATCTTCTCTTTTTTTGTAATATAGCCTCAGATTCCTGGAAGGTGTGTTATTATAACGTCACATATAATCTGCTGGGGGCCATAAATGAATACAGGATTTCTAAAGGCTAATAAATCTGTCTGATATATGTTGCAAATAGCACATTACACATCTCTATTATCCTCATAAGACCTACCTACCTCTTACAGAAGAAATTGTAACAATAAACAGATGTTAATTTTCACCGTAATTTATTTGTTGTTCTAAAAGCTCAGTTCAGTGCCTCAGAATGATATAGTAGTTGGAATTTAGACATATACAGCTGAAATGGAAACAGTCTTAAAGGTTCAGTTTCTTTAGAACCTTTGCCTAATACGGAACCAGTGTGCTGGCTCTTACTTTCTAATTTAGCATGTGGTCTGAATAATGAGACTGAATGAGACCATAAACTCATGTGCTTCTAGTTTTAGAAGTTAGGGACAAATGACAAATACTGGCAAATAGTCTGTTGACAAGGGAAAGACCAGCAGCATGTAGTTTATAATTGTTGAATTATTTCCACTCAGGTAGAAAAATTAAAATGGTTCAAAACCAAATCTGCTGAACAATTAAGGTTATTTATGATATTTTAAATATCTATTTTAATCCACATTCAAAGGTTAGCTTTTTCATTCATACTATTAATATTTCTATATCTAAATTTTTAATGATTTCCCCTCCATATTAAGAATAATGGCCCTTCTCCATTCTCAAAATATTGTGAGAATACTCAGCTGTGATATTGGAATCAAACCCCTTTCCCAAATGAGGATGATGAATATGTATAAGAACCAACTAATGAATTAGAATGTTGGTTTTAAATTTGTTTGCTCTCAATAATTATTAACTGCTTTAAATATGAATTCGTGCCTTGATAACAAATATGTTAGGAAGTACCAACTGAAAGTTCAGTAGGCTTTCTGTCTTCAAAGTGATTGTGATACCAGTGGACACCGATAAAGGCAGACTTTGATTCGAAGAGATGACTAGAATTGACATAAAAGTTTAAATTACTGCAATCAACCTTTTTATCTTCTTGCCCTTTTCTGTCATTTATCCATATTTAATCATTTGTATTTTTAGCTCCTTTATGCATGCCCCTGATGCGGCATTATCTCATTATCAAGAGAATTTTGAACTACCTTTTAGGTTTGAAATAGTAGCATGATTAGGCATCATTTAGATTGACGACAGTTGTTGCATGCATGAATGCCTTTACTATATCTTTATTCCAGACAGCTCTTGGTAATATTGATATATTTTCTTATTTTCCCCTTGAATTTTAATTTGAAAACGATTTTTTAGTTATTCATCCAGTTACTTATTTAAAAACTTGCTTTGAGTCTGGGCATGGTGTAATCCATAATTACAGGCTCATACCTGCAATCCCAGTACTTTGGGAGCTGAGGTGGGTGGATCACCTGAGGTCAAGAGTTTGAGATCAGCCTGGCCAACATGGTGAAACCCCATCTGTCCTAATAATACAAAAATTAGCCAGGTGTGGTGGTGCATGCTTGTAATCCCAGCTACTCAGAAAGCTGAGGCAGAAGAATCGTTTGAACCCAGGAGGTGGAGGTTGCAGCGAGTTGAGATCACGCCATTGCACTCCAGCCTGGGTGACAAGAGCAAAACTCCATCTCCAAAAATAAAAATAAAAACTTCCTTTGAATCTAAAGTGGTAGCATTTACTGACACTACCTTTAAGGAGGTCTAAATCTTGTGATCGATGGGACATAATTTATTATAATCCTAAGTGGTAGGAACTGAGATGAGATCATTTGATAAAAAATTTTATTGCAACCTTTTGGATAATTACCTTTAAGGTGCTACTATATCTAAGTGTATTATTATGTCTGTTTGGGTCTCTGTGTGCATTTGCGTATATATATGTGTGTGTATGTAGGTATGTGTGTATGTATATGAGAAGAATAAAAGCTCTTGGGCATTTTTGGGGATTGGTAGATTAAAATTTATTTATAATTAAGATGACCTTGGCTTACTCAAGAGTTAATCAAGAGCAGGTCTCTGAGTGCCCAGGTAGCACCTCCTTTGCATTTTTGAGTACTTGCCTTTGGAGAGTGTTATTAACAAGGCATGCTAGCTTTTGAAATGTCATTATTTGGAGATATAGAGGGACAGAAAATTTGTCTGATCTTGTGTTCACAAACTGAAGCAAATATGAAGTCTAGTATATGATTTAGAAAGCAAATGTAATGGAGCTATGAATGACTTTATTTCAGTCTAGGATGTGATTTCTTGTTTGTACTACCTACACCTTTGCCTGCCACATTTTTATTGTTGTGGCAGTTATTCATAAGCTTGTCTTCTAATCTCTGCCAGGAAAGTGCCCTTGTAGTCTTTCTGCTGAGGTTACTGTTTAGGCATCAAAGGAAACCTTTTCTCAGTTAATAGCTGTTGATATTACTTTATATATATATCCTATAATTAAGAAGTATAATACTTATTTGGAAGTAAATTTTTGAGGTGCATTCATTTTCCTTCAATTTTTAAAAAACATAGCTATGTTTTATTTACACTGAAGGATTTTTAAAGCATATATCTCATTATTCTATCATCTTGACACCAATATTTTCACTTTCTGGTTCCTCTAGTCTATTCATCTAGGATTTTGTTTTATTCTTGGAATCATGTCTGTTTTTTTCTATTAAACATAAAGACATTTCCATTGTTATAAAGCTTTCATCATAATTTTAATTGATGCGTAATAACTCATTACTGCTTTCTTTTATGTAAAACTTTTAAAAGTATTTTTTATATTTCTTTTCTTGTCTAGCTCACATTTGCATTTACCCATAATTCTAAAGTTTTATGCAAATAGTAACGTTATTAGTTTCTTTACACATGATTTTTTGCTCTTATGTAATCCTTCATGTATATATATTTGCTGGAATTTTAAAAAGACAACGAAAATTACTGCATAATTCAGAAGCAATGGTAGGAAGGCCCTGAATTATTTATATTACGTAACTGCTAATTCAGTCTAAGGTTTACTCTTTCTTTCTAACATATCACATTGTTTGTCTGATTTAACCTTTGATTACTGTTTTCACATTTTATATTTGTACATCGAAGTTGAATACTATATAAAATAAATGAGGTTTACTTGAAACTTAATTCCAAAGATTTATATTAAAGCCTGTTGTGTTCTTCATGATAAATATCTATGAATTTTAAGACTGCTGTGGAACCCACATCAGTCCAGTAATATTTCACATATTCAGGCACTTATTCTTAAATTCTTTTGTCTGTAATGGCTACTAGGAATATAGTTTTATAGCTAGTATAAAACACAGGATATAATAAAGTTTGTTGGGGGAGGAGGTTTAAGCATATCAGATATGAAATTTTTGACTTTTGGCTTTTGTAACAACTTGAAATATAGCAAAGTGTTTTGTTTCAAAGCTAACACTCGTAGCCTTAAAAATCTCTCTTTATATATGTGTATATAATTTATATAAGCACTGTTGTGCCTTATTTCTGAGTTTTAGTGCCTCCTATGCTTATAAATTTATCAATTCCATTATTATGCTATTCTATTATTGCCTCAGTAATTTAAGGATTATATTTCTAGACCAAAACTTTTTGTTATCAGAGTGTTTCAATGTGTTTAGAGAACTTTAAAAAGTAATTTTTACACATGAGGTAGATCAGATATTGTATCCTCTAGTTTAGCCAAAAGGTTTTCCTTTGAACATGTTCCATATGTTGTATATAAAATAAAAAACTGCTTCTGTGCCTCTGAGTTATCCCTCACTACTTCCCCCAGGCTCTTCCCTTCAAGTCACCTTCACAGATTTCAGGTTGGCTCTGAGTCAGGGAAGACCCTCCTTGTAGGTCTTGAGCCGTATTTGAGTGCGTGGGTGGTGCTTGTTGCATGGATTAAGCCAAAATACTTCATTTCCAGTAGCTCCTGGAGAAAATGAGGAAAAAGAAGTGGTGTGAAGAGTACTGTGTCAGGGCTCTAGAAATAGCTGCATTTTAAGCCAAACCTTTTCTTCTCTTTTTAAACTTTTTTTGGAGTGAACAATTCATATTTGTCTTCTTTGATCATTGTCTTTTCAGGAGCTCCCCAGTGTCGTCCTCCTCCATCAGCTAGCTAAACAAGAAGGTGCATGGACCATACTTCCATTATTACCGCAGTACGTTTAACTCACAATGTGTGAATGACTGACATTCCAACCTAAACACTTTTATGCCCCTAGTCCTTTTATTAAGAGAGTGTGGTTTTCCTCAGTCAGTAAGTGAAGTAAATTTGAGTTTTACTTTTTATGATTACTACCTAATCAAATTTATTGATGATTGGTTCTTAATCATGAATAGCTTTTGTTTTTATATATGCTTTTTCTTAAAAGATAAAATGCTTCAAGCTGATATTTGAAAGTTATTTATCCCCGAACTAATGTTGTTATGGAGAGAATTAACTTTAAGAACTCTGGCTGTTTTGTAAACCATTAGCATCTGGCTTTTCTATAAGGTGAAGAAAAATATAGAGGAAAGAAACTACATATGCCATTCTGTGTACCCTGCATTCATTTCCTACTAATCAGTTTTAAACCTTATTATTAACTCATTTTACAGAAGTGATTACTGAAACTTGTTTCTTTTTGTCAGCTTTTCGGTAACATATAGCAGAAATTCATCATGGATTTTCTTCTGTGAAGAAGAGACAAGAATACAGGTTCCAAAACTCTTGGAAACTCTCAGAAGATATGACTCCTCTAAGGTGAATATAACTTCAATAGCAGTTCTTATTTTTGGGGACAGTGTTTCAAAGGAGATTTAATTTTGATTAAGAGGTTTTTGAATCTAATAAAAAAACACTGAGTTTAAAATGAAAAAGAATGAAACATTGTTGAATGTCTGGAAGATATGTTAAATAATTCTCTTTGAGGTTTGTAGCTTATAGAGGGACATAGCTTATAATGAGCCATTTTAAATGAAAAAAATGTTAATATATGTGTTGGCAATTTCAGAGTTGAAAACTATAACTTGAAGTTCAGAAACCGCTTAACGTAGCAATAAACTTAAGTTGGCTATTTCTCCTTATCAGACAGACAGTGACCATATATTATTTTAGATAGAAAAATTATTTTGAGTGCCAACCGTATACTGAGCACTGTGGATGGCAGAGGCTAGAACAAAACAGATGACAATTCTGACCATGTGGGTGGCACAAAATAGCAAGGAGAACAGACCCTTAGAGAAGCAGTTATGGTTAGAAGCAAAACATCTCTAATAACGACGATGAGGGTGCTGTTAGAGACATGTAACAGGGGCATTGAATCTAACCTAGGAGGGTTAGGACAGGAAGTGACATTTAATCTGAGTTCTGTAGGATGAGTAGGAGTTAGCAAGAGAGAAAGAGAGTCTGCAAGCAGAAGGAACACTATTTGAGAAAGAATGAGGGTGAGAAGGGATGAATCTTAAACCAGAGGAACTCAGTGAAGTCCACTACTGCTTTTACATTTTCAAATCTTTTTTGCGCAGATTAGCAACTGAATCTTGTTTGCCTTGAAATCCCTAGCTCTGAGCGAGTGTTTAACACTTAGTAGGTGTTCAGTGAATATTTGTCAATGACTTTATACCCCTGTAATAATCAGTTTTGCTGCTGGGCTATGTTCGAAGGCTAGTTAGGTTTAGAGAGCTGCCTCGGAAATGTGTCAAGAGTAAATGGAGCTCATTCAGTTCTCCTTCAGAAGCCCAGGTTACAACCTGATCACTTTCTGGAATTCTTTAAACTTGAGATAAGCAGAGTTGGACCCTTTCTGGTCCCAGTGGAAACCTGTCCCACTCACCTTCAGATGCTCACTCCTGAGATGTATCAGATGTAATGAGCTCATGGGGAAGCTTCTGGGTGCTGCTTGGTTTGTTGATGTAGATGTCAACCACTGGGCAACAGTGATCATTAGATTAATTTCTCCAAACACTGAAAAGTCTGTTACTATGATAGAAACCACTGCTTTTGATGATCTTTAAATACTGGAAAGATTCATTTTGATTTTTCTTCATGCTTTTTATTTCTGGGAAGCTTTAGATATAATTGGATGAGAAGGTCATTGGGTTAAAAAAATAATTCTTTCAAAGAAAAGAATTATGAACCTGTCTCATCCAGTCTTTTCAGATGATACTAACCAGCATCTGTATACTTTTTGCCATGTTTTATGTAAACCATTTGTCAGGCTTTTATGTTTCCTTTTGGCTTGAGAAAAACTCCCAAATCTTTCTTAGGTTGTAGGAGTTTTAACCTCCTCCTAGTGTTCATTTCACCTGGAGATTATTTTTCCATTATCCATAGCTCTAATTCTGTACAGGAGATGGTGACTCACTTTGCTTTTTAATGAAAATTGGGATGACATATTTAAAAGTTCAAAGCAAGTTCATGAAAAGCAAGTACAGAACAGAGGCAAAAGGAGATGTTTTCTCCCTCTTTTCTGAACTCTGTCATATGAAAAAAATATATAGGATGCTTTATTTCTTTTGAAACTAGCAGTAAGAAATGATAAAGATTATATAATGTTGGAGTTACCTGAAACCACTGTGATTTTTTTCCTCCCCTCCATTTGAAACTTAGGACAAAAGTATAAAGCAAACCTGACTTTGATATTTACACAGATAAGCTTTGTGCACATTAAAATAATTATGTAATGTGTTAGGGTAAAAGGCATTTTGTTTGATTCTGATTTTTTTCCTTCATCTTTCAGTCATTCTTACTAATACAAAGGTATACTGTCATAAAATATTTTAAATGTGAAACTTTAACTTGTATCAAAGTAATCTTTGTTAAATTACCTTCCTCAGTGATTTATATACATTTTTATGTTGTTTGAAGTCTTTGCTTTGTAACCACAGTATGCTTTTAATATATGTGTATTTGATGAAGTGTGTTGACTTTAAATTTATTTTATTTTTTGAGACAGAGTCTCGCTCTGTCACCCAGGCTGGAGTGCAGTGGTGCAGTCTCGGCTCACTGCAACCTCTGCCTCCCGGGTTCAAGTGATTCTCATGCCTCAGCCTCCCGAGTAGCTGGGATTACAGTCATACACCACCACACCTGACTAATTTTTGTATTTTTAGTAGATATGGGGTTTTGTCATGTTGGCCAGTCTGGTTCTGAACTCCTGGCCTCAAGTGATCCACCTGCCTTGGCTTCCCAAAGTGCTGGGATTGATTACAGATAGGAGCCACCACACCTGGCCAAAATATATTTTTAATAGAGGTAAAAGACAGGTGCTTGTAAAAAGTAATTCTAAGATACTAGTGGAACACTGAGTTATTCTTTTAAGATTCTTTTTGATTATAATTGTCCTTTTAATGAAATCATTAAGAAAGTAATTAAGAAAAATTAGGGGAGTGGCTCTTTCCATAGATTCTATAATAATTTTTAAAAGTAGTTTATAATGCACACAAAAATATTGAAAAACAGTCATACACTCTGCAGCTGAACACTGCAATTGGGAGATAAAACATAATATGTTCTGCATAAAACTATTTGGAACCAGAGGTTTTAATAGGGAAAGGTTTTAATAGTTAAAGAGTCTTAAGAAAGTTTCCGAAATGTACTGAATGTTTATTTTCTTTATACAAGCTATATTGGTGTGGTATGTAAAATACGGTGATTTACATATGGGTTAAGGTTTAGTTGCTTGATAAACCACTTGATAAAGAGTTGATTATTGATTTTTAAAAAAGGGTTGAATTTTTATCTCAGGCTGAGGTCATTTGTCTTAGCCGTTACAGGGTTTACTCTTACCCAGTAATGACTTCATATATCAACAGGCATAGTATCAAGAAGAAAGTCATATGGATCTGTGAATCTAAATACATAGTTGTTTTTTTTTTGAGACAGTTTCACTCTTGTTACCCAGGCTGGAGTGCAATGGTGTGATCTTGGCTCATCGCAACCTCCGTCTCCTGGGTTCAGGCAGTTCTCCTGCCTCAGCCTCCCGAGTAGCTGGGATTACAGGCGTGAGCCACCACACCCGGCCTAAATATATAGTTTTAACGTTAGATTTAAAAATTAATAGCTGTCACATATGTTCAGTTATGACCCTTGCTGAATTGAGGAAAACTAGAACTCCGGGAGATATTTGCAATACAAGCAGAATAAGGCTCTTAAGAAATACCTGAGAGTGCTCATGTGTGGTATCTTCTTGATTTTATATTCTGATAAACAATAGAGAGGAAGGTGGTCTTGGTTGGATTAGAGAGAAAATATGTAAAACTTTTAGAACTTAGCGTACTTGATTCAAATTGTATGCTCTAGTTTCTTCAGTAGAGGAGAGCTGCTTTTTAAATCTCTCATGGACTTGCTATATTCATTTGGCAAGAAGTTATTGAGCTACATGTTAGGTGTATTGGAGATATAGCAGTGAACAAAATAGACAACATCCCTGCCTTTAAGGAGGTGATGTTCTTGTTTCAGGGGAAAAAAGCAATAAAGAAAAATGCAAATAAATATGTAATGTATCAGATGGTAACAAGTGCCATGGAGAAGAATAAAGCAGAATAAGGGAGTAAGGGATGTACTGGGAATGGGCTCGCCTGTCTGTAATAGGGTATTCAAGGAATACCTCACTATCAGGTCACATTTGAACAGAGCAGAGGAACTGAGGGAGTCAGCCATGTACTCTCTACTCTTATGTCAAGCTGCCTACTTCATACCTTTGCTTATCTAACAGGAACCTAAAACTCGAAATGTTCAAAACTGAACTCTCAATGCCTTTGTAAACCTCTTCCATCTTCAGTCTTCCTCACCCAGAAATGGCATTACTGTCTATCCAGTTGCTCATATTAAAAACCTAAGACTTGAGATTGGTTCATTTTTTTCTTCAGCATTACCATTATGTGACTATGAGTGATTTTCTTTGTATTTGTCCTCACTGGAGTTTACAGAGCTTCTTGAGTCTAGAACTTGATGACTTTTGTTAGTTTTGGAAAATTCTAAGCCTATATTCTTCAAATATTGCTTCAGTTCCATTCTGTCTGTCCTTGATTTCCAGTGTTGTACATTTCATCCCTTTTCCTGTGTCTCATATTGCCATAAGCTCTTTTCTCTATTGTCCTCCCTTTTTTTTTCTTGTAACAGTCTGGATATTTTTTACCCACTTGCTTTCCAGACTTAAATCTGGAAAGATTTAACTTCCCAGTTAAATCTTCTCTGCTATTGTGCTTAATATCCTTTTGAATTACTAACTTTAGTTCTTGCATTATTAAGTTTTAGATTTTTCATTTGGCTCTTGTTTATAAATTCTAGTTCTTTGGTGCAATTTAAAAGAAAAATTTTTATGCTTAAAAAACATGTTAACCATAGCTACTTAAAAGTCTTATTTGATAACTGCAAAATCTGTCTCATCTGTGCGTCTCTTTCTGTTTTTCACTTTTCTTGTTTCTGATTTGATCTTGTTTCTTTCTCTGCCTGGCATTTTTGACTAAATCTCAAATGTTTAAGGCTATAGATGATAGGACTTCCTACATATGGAAGGATTTAATCTTCTGGGTTGTAGACCTTGTTTGGGTAGGTCTGTTTGTAGACTGCTCTTACTCCAGAGCCCTTTTGTCCTGGCAGAGTCTGAACTCCAACCTTAGTTTCCCAGCACTACAGTATTGCTGAAGGCTTTGATCAGCTTTTTAGCGTCTCCACTGCTGCTTTCTGCTTGGTTCTTATTTTCTCCTTTGGTTTTTGTGCAGCTTAGGTCATTGAGGGAAATGTGCATGCAGCATCTTAGGACCCCCTTACATCTCTTCTCTTTCAATGTCTCCAGCTCCAGCTTCTGTCTCTTTGGTCTGGTGAGGTTGCAAAAGCTTCCAGCTGCTGCTTTTGGCTATGTGCTATTTGTAGCTCTAGGAATCAACAAATTCCTTGAGGAAAAGAGGAGGCCAATATGGGGCTTCCATGGATGGGCTTTCTAATTCTGGGATCTTAGCCCTTTATGTTCTGTCTGCCTTTGTTTTTTTCTGATGGCTTCAATCATTTGCCTTATGTCATTTCTCCAGCTTTTATGCTTGTTCTCAACAGGAGAGTAGATGTGATCCAGATTATGCTATTGTGGTCAGAAGTGGAAGTCTTTCATTACACTTAGAATAAAGTCTGTGCTCCTTTCCTCTGGCACATAAAACTCACCCTGGTCGGCCTTTTGCCTGTCTCTTTTGTACCTCATTCCCACACCCAGTAGCTCCAGCCACACTGGATTTCTTTTTTCATTGACTATATCAAACTTTTTCCCAACTTAGGGACTTTGCATTAAGTCCTTTGATGGCTCTTCCTCAGATTTTTGCATGGAGCTGGCTCTTTGGTATTATTTCATCTCAGTTCGCTACTGAGGATGAACAAAATGTTAGTCATCATTATATGACTAACAGATTTTTGCATGGAGCCAGCTCCTTGATATTTTCTTCTCAGTTTGCTACATCATAAGAGATTTCCCTGTCTTTTCAGCGCAGCTCCTAGCCACCCAGATTTATTTTCATCATAGCACATTTCAATTACTACCTCAAGTTATTTTATTTACCTGCTTAATTTCCATTTCTCCACTATAGGGTAAGCTGTGTTCCTGCCTGGTGTGTGGTATATTCTCAATAAAAATCCTTTGAACAAATAAATAAATAAACAAATAATAATTGATTCTGAAAGGAATTTTTCCAATTACTGTTTGAAAACCTCAGTAAGGTATAAGCGTATACTATTTTCTTTGCCCTAATAGCCTTTTTATGTGGAATATTCTATGAAATACCACTTTTACACATTTATGGTGTAATGATGACTAACGTTTTGTTCATCCTGATGATTAGATCTTGAACTACGTTTTATATACAGAGCTTTGTTATGTTATCATACTAGTGTTAATTATGTTTTTGTTCATATTCTCTAGAGTGACTTAATCTGTGCTAATAACTCTTTATTACCCAAAATATTTAATTATCTAAAACTAACAGTACAACTTTGTATTGGTCTTACATGAAATGATTGTTTTTAAGGTGACTTGTATCTTTATTTAACAGGAATGGTTTTTAGGAAAGGCATTACATGATGAAGAATCTACAATAATTCACCATTACGCCTTTTCCGAGAATCCTACAGTTTTTAAGTATCCAGACTTCGCTGCAGGCTGGGCCTTAAGTATTCCGCTTGTAAACAAGTAAGAATTGATTGGACTTTTTTGTGGGGGGTGGGAGGGATGTGCATTCAACTTTAATTTCATTAGGTACTGTAATGATGGATCTCAGGATCTCAAATGAGTTTTTCAGCCAGAGGCAGTGTGTGGTAAGACCTGGAAAAGGAGCCAGATGCCTGAGGGTTTCTGCTTCAGCGCTGTCATTTACTAGACCCTTCAGATAAATCATTCAGCCTCTCTGTACTTCTTACTCATCCACAAAATAATAAGTTGTGAGACTACGGGAGAACACAGAAGAAGCTGTGAGAAGCGTGCACGTGGAAGCGTCATTACTATTGTTAAGGGATCTACTTAGCTATAGATGTAACTTTGATCACCACCAAGAAAATGAATCAGTACCATGCTGGGGTTGAGAGCTGATGACTCATCATGTGCATGGCTATGCATACTTAAACACGGCCCAGGCCGGAGGGACAGCTAGTGGAGGGTGCTATAGGTATACCTAGGTATTTGTGTGTATAATCACAATGGCTCCCTGTTAGATGGGGAAAGTGAAGACAGTTAAATTGTAATTCAGGAGATATGCTTGTTGACAGGCCCTTTAGATTAATTATATGTTTTTGTTCTCTAGGGAATGGAAAGCTGATAAAGCACTTGTGGCTTTTATATCTTCAGAGATGAAAGACTTTTTATCATTAAGTGTCCTGTTTCTAGGATTTGGGGTCTTTTAAATCTTTTTAGCCCATTGTAGATATACAGGATAGTACATACCTTGTCATTCATGGCTGCCCAAAACTTCTTGACCATTCCTTTCACATTTGAAAGTTCTCTGTAGTGTGACACCCTCCTTTCCAGTGTAGAATCCAAACAACAAGAAAACCCCCTGTGTTTCCTAGCCTTCCTTACTAGGAAGGAGGCAGCCGTATGTTATAGGTTCCATCAGGTAAATGTGTTATGTTTGTGTTTATATTTTTGGGAACTGAATTGTGTGGGGAAGGAGACAGAGCATGGGGGGGGAACATTTGAATTGAGATTCATGGCAAAGTGAGAGCCATTTGAGGGATGGCAGAGTCTGAAGCTCCCAAGCTGCTTGTTTCTGTGGTACAAATCAGGGGGTTCTTGGAATCTCACCTTACAGTCTGTTTACTCAGACTTTCCAGTAATTCCATGAGCCATCTGTATGCTTTAATAAATGTACGTTATGCTTTAGCCAGAGTGGATTATTTTTGTTTCCGGTTAAGATCCTTGACTTATGCTCTCAGTCCTGGGACTGCCAGGCAACGATGCCCTTCTCCAGGCCCCTAGCAAGCAGGCCTAAGAGCATCTGCACAGTTTTCCTCCCTTTGTTCTTAGAAGGGTCAAGGAGGAAGGGGAGTGATGCCCTTCTCCAGGCCCCTAGCAAGCAGGCCTAAGAGCATCTGCACAGTTTTCCTCCCTTTGTTCTTAGAAGGGTCAAGGAGGAAGGGGAGTGAAGACCAGAAGAAGTGGTTGTTGCTTCTCACCCTCTACGGGTCTGCCTGGTTCTGTGCTCTGCAGGGAAGAGGGGAATATGTTCTGCCCTTCAGCAGCCTTGGGTCATATTTCTTCTCAAATTAAATACACTTTGGTTTGCTACAGCTTGAGGACCAGGAGCTCCCGGGAAACTCTTTTCCCACAGTGTCCAGCAGCCTTATGTTGGGGCCTGTTCAGCTACCTTTGTTGAGTCTGGACTCTTAATGAATAGAAGCTGTGACCTGAACTTAGTAGGATGAGCCACTGTCCCTTCTCCCTTCTTCATGTATTCTTCTCATCCTCCACCACAGGAGGCTTCCTCTAGCCTTACTTGTTCTGTCTTCAGTTGGTTTTACAGTATGGAAAGATTTGGTGTGACTTCTTTGTGGGAGAAGTCCCAACCCCTGCATGAGCCTGTTTCTCTCCCATTTCCCGTATGCTATGGAAGTCCCTTGAGAGAGGAACAAACACAGCTACAGCCTTCTCTGGAAAGTGCTGTGAGTGCAGCAGGTGTTTCTTCCTCCGGGACTAAAGAGGAAACCGGTGGACCCAGGAACAGCTGTGTGGCAAGCAGGGGGCGTAATCCTTTCCCTGAAGCCAGGTTAGCTCTTTTCTTCTTCACTGCCTTCTGATCCAGGAGGCCTCTCATCTTGAAGGCAAATCCTATAGTCTAGAGTTTTACCTTCCTTCTTCCCATCACAATTTCCTATCTTCCTCTAGCAAGACTTTCTTGGAGACCTCTTGATGCTGAATTCAATTAAGTTTTTGTTGAATTAGGTGTTAGAAGTAACTATTCTTGCTTCCTTTAACTGTCTTAACCAGGTGCAGATGGATGGAAGTGATCCTGTTTGAATACATTTTTGACTTCTGGCATCCCTGTGTAGGGCAGTTCAGCTCAACACTTATTGGCTGACATGCTGGCATTAAGTATAACCTGTTTGAGGAAACCTCTGCCCTCTGCTTCACTGCTCATAAGTGTAGCAGCACCCAGAGCACTGGCAGGTTCTGTTGGCTCTGGCTAGTGCTCACCTCATTACTATCCCATGCTCACCACGTGACTAGCTTCTGGGGATTTGTGAACCAGGGTTGCGGATTGCACACTAGCCAAGATGTTAGCCTTGTTAAGGGGCAAATTTATGTTACGGATTATCTGGCATTTTGCAAGGTAGTCCCACAGGAGACCACACGCAGGTCCATGAACCCCTTCCCTGTTGTGTTTGTGAGATCATTGAACACATCTGTTGACAAGGCAAGGCAGCCAGTGCAGCTTCCATAGGGACCTCATAGCTCTCTTTCTAGTCAAGTTTAACAGTATTTAGGGGAGAGAACTGAGGGCCTCATCACTGCAGCAGGGTGTGTCGGTATCTTAGTCTCTTTGGGCTGCTACAAGAAAATGCCATAAACCAGGGAGCTTATAAACGACAACAGTTTATTTCTCACAGTTCTGGAGGCTGAAGTCCAAGATCAAGGCACTGGCGGATTCAGTGACTCATGAGGGCTGGTTCCTTTCCTTCTTGTTGTGGCCCCTCATGGGGCTGAAGGGGTGAGGGGCCTTTTTTATAATGGTGCAGTCCCATTCATGAGAGTCCCCTCCCTATGGCTTCATCACCTGCCAAAGGCCCAGCCTCCTGATAACGTCACCTTGAGGGGTAGGACTTCAGCCTATGACTTTGAGAGGGAACACAAACATTCAGACCATAGCAATGGGGAACTACCACTAAGGGAATTAAGGCCAAGAGGTTAATCTTTTTCACAGAGCTCAGGAAATTCCTAGCACTTCTCCTGTGACTCCAATGAGAGAGTAGTGAGGCACCAGATAGCCTTCTGCCTGGTGTGTCATCTGCTCATGACAACGCTCAACAGTGACCAACGAACTGTAGAATAATTCATTAATATCCAGCAAAAACAAAGCAAAATAAATATGCAAACTCTACCATAGTGCCATATTTAAAATTCTAGATTATCTTAGATCATATTTCCTTTCCTTCTGATGCCAACAAGTAATCAAGCAAATAAAATGATATAACTCATCTGGCATAGCTGCTATCTTGTGATCAAGATATATTTTTAAATGGCTTTCTAGTGGGGATTCTTATTATTCTTCAAGAAATTGGTATTATACTTAGGACTAAAGGAAGGATAAAGTATCCATTAGCCCCAGCAACTGCAACACTGATTCTTCCTAGCTGTTTTTTTTTTTTTTTTCCAATTCAAAGCGAACATGCTGACTGTTTCTTCCTGTTATTAGCAGCTACTTCATTTAGCATGCTTTTGGATGCAAGTAATAGGAAGCAACTCAAACTGGATTAAGGAAATACTATTGCTACAGTTGGGGTGAGGTCTATGGTTGGCTGAACCAGCAGTTTATCAGTATCATTGAGGACCTATACTCTCTCTGTCCCTCTAGCCTAGAGTACACAGAATCCATTTATCCTAAATCTGGTTCCTCTGGTGGTTTCAAGACAATTAGGGCTACATATTTCCTATTTATACCCAATAGTAAATAGCCTGTTCCCGACCATTAATGGTCAGTCCTCATCCTCAGTCTGGTTGGGCTAACTGCACGTGTGTTCTAATCCCCAGATTATTAACAGTTGCCAGGAATTTCATTGATTATTAGAATTAATTCCTCCCTTGTTAACTTTGAATCAAAGAATAGATTGCCTAATTCATTCAGGGAGCTCACTGCGTGCTCATTTTGGCATGGTACAGTGGGCAGTGCTGGCAAGACAGAGAAGAAAGTGTAGCACAGAGAGAGCTGTGTACACACCAAATTTTAACGCATGTGATAAAGCTGATAAGTCTGTACTTTGTACTGTGGTGGTCAAGGAAGTTTTCATTTACTCTGGTGAGCAAGCCTGGAAAAGTTTTACGGAGAAGTTACCCATGACTTTGGTGTTTACAAGTTTGCTCAGTAAACGTTGGGTTCAGGCACTCTAGGCAGATGTCCGGAGGGAGAGAACAATGAAGGAGGCATGTGCTCCGGGTATAGCAAGTGGGTGCTGTGAAGCTGGAGATGGTCAGGGGAATGGTATGGCCCTCAAGACTGGCTCAGGAGTTTCGGGCTTTATTCTATCTGGGAAAGGAGCCACTGAAAAAATTTTAAACAAGACAGTGACTTGAAATAAAACTGTGATTCTTCCCCCAAACCACATACTTTTTCCCCATAAAATCCAGCAAGATTCATTAAAGTAAGAAACAAAGAGTAACCTAGACACAGCCAAAGCAAGGCACGGACTCTCTGAGATCCAAGATCTGTCGCCTGGGCTGTGGCCTCAACTCCACTAAAACATGTTCTGATCCAGCAATCTCTACAACTTCATTCCAACCCTGAGGAGTGGAAGTGGAGGCTTCGTCAATTTATTTGTTCAAGTTTATTCTACTAAGTGATACAAGTGGAACTGCCAACCAGGCCTCTTGCATCAAACAGCCTTGTTGTGAGTGCAAAGTTCTTGAAGGAAATTAAAAGTGCTACTCCAGTGAACACAGGAAGGATAAGGAAGTAGAACAGCTTTCCTGCTGATACGAAGAAAGGTCTGGATGGAAGATCAAAACATTTACAACATTCCCTTAAATCAAAGCCTAGGCCAGTACAAGGACCTAAGTCTCTTCACTTCTACAAATGATGAGGTGAGGAGGCTGCAGAAGAAAAGTTTGAAGTTAGCAGAGGTTGGCTTGTGAGGATGAAGGAAGGAAGCCAACCCTATAACAAGTGTGAGGTGAAGCAACAAGTGCTGTTATAGAAGCTATAGCAAGTTATCCAGAAGATCTAGCTAAGATCATTGATGAAGGTGGCTACATTAAACAACAGATCTTCAATGTGGATGAACAGCATTATGTTGGATGAAGTTGCCATCTAAGACTTCCATAGCTACAGAGGAGGAGTCAATACCTAGCTTCAGAACTCAAAGAACAGGCTGACTCTCTTGTTACAAGGTAATGTAGCTGCTGACATTAAGATGAAGCCAAAGCTCATTTACTGTTTTGAAAATCCTAGGGCCCTTAAGAATTACAATTAATATACTCAAGTGAAGGGAAGAGTTACACATCCCTCACTTTAAGTCAAAAGCTTGAAATAATAAGGAGGGCACGACGAACATCAAGACAGGCTGAAAGCTAGACTTCTTGTACCAAATAGTCCAGTTCCATAAATGGAACAAAAAAGCATGGATGACAATACATCTGTTTATAGCAGGGGTTACTGAATATTTTGAGGCCACTCTTGAGACCTACTGCTCAGAATAACAGATTCTTTTCAAGATATTACTGTTGATTCACAACATAAGTTGTCACTGAAGAGCTCTAATGGAATGTACAAGGAGATACGTTTTCATGCCTGTGAGCACAATACTCATTCTGCAGCCCAATATATCAAGGAGGAATTTCAACTTTCAAATTTTATTTAAGAACATTTTGTAAGGCTATTCCTTCTATAGATAGATAGTGATTTCTCTGATGGTTCTGGGCAATGTAAACTGAAAATTTCCTGGAAATAATTTACCATTCTATCTGCCATTAAGTACATTTGTGATTCATGGGAAAGATCAAATTATCAACATTAACAGGAGTTTGGAACACATTGATTCTGATCTCATGGATGACTTTGAGGGGTTGAAGACTTCAGTGGAGGAAGAAACTACAAAAATGGTGGAATAGCAAGAGAACTAGAAGTGGAGCATGGAGCATGAAGCTGTGAGTGAATTGCTGCAGTCTCATGATAAAACTTGAATACATGAGGAGTTGCTTCTTAGAGACAAGCAAAGAAAGTGGTTTGTCAGGATGGAATGTACTCATGGTGAAGATGATGTGAATACTGGAAATGACAACAAAAGATTTAGAATAGTATATAAATAGTTAAGAGAAAAGCAGCAAGGTTGCAGAGGAATGACTTTAATTTTGAAAGAAGTTCTACTGTGGGTAAACTATGAAACAACATTTCATGCTGCAGAGAAGCCTTGAAAAAGAGTCATGTGAAGTGGCAAACTTCATCATCTTCTTTTAAGAAATTGCTACAGCCACCTCACCCTTCAGAAACCACTACCGTGATTGGTCAGCAGCCATCAACATCAAGACAACATGCTCCACCTCTACCAGCAGAACAAAATCAGAGGCTCAGAGGATGTTATCACTGCTTTAATCACAAATGGAAAGTCACCATTTTTGAATTGTAACTTACCTGCAATGGACTGAAATGGGTCCATCTTGGCCAAACTGCTCTTTTGTTTTATGGACTTGGCCGATGAAGTCAATAAAGCCTTCTCCGGACTTTGGCACTCCTTGCTCTGGCCAGTCAGTGAACTGGAACTGCCTTACTGTTCGGGACTGGCCGTCCTTTGGAAGGAAAGCCATATACCCGGCCACAAATGAAGATGCCAGGAGGATTTAGCAAGCGCACAGACCACAGGAGCAATCAATCATCATTTTGTTTCCCCAAAAAATAAAAGGGCAGAAAATGTTACTTAGGAATATGTTTAACTAGAAACTTAATTTAACTAGAAACTTAATTATGTTTGTGTCTTATCTGTCATGAACACCGTCCACACTCACATACCTTTAAATCACAAATTTGCTTTCACAGCAACCAGTTAAAAACCTGGTTCTCCATTAGTAAATAGCCACATAGTACCCCTATTAGCAAATGCTTCTGAGACCCAAAGTTTGGGTTTGTAACCATTGATCATGTTTGCATTTCTTCCAAATAGAATATATATATATATATATATATATATACACACACACAAACACAGACACTCCATTTCAGAAATTTCATAATCACTTTGTAATATTTAAAGGAGCACCCAGGCATGTCTTCCAGACTAGAGCTTTTGCAGCTGTCATAATAACCTCACATCTGCTGTGCTTGCATATTTCTAACATTGTCAAATGACAAATAGTGACATTCAAAGGATCTGACACAAACCCAGTAGTTGCTGTTAACCTAGGTGCCCCCCATGTCTCAGAGGAATACAATTTCTAGTCATGGCAGGGGACATAGCATGAATCATGTGACTGTGCTGTTACGTGGGAAGTAAAGTATCCCTCAAGAAGACCAAGGACTATATTAGCAAACAAATGCCCTTTTCTGAAAAAGAACTCTCCTTGGCTGACCACAAGAGTGGCAGTCTGTGAGGGGCTGAAACATAGATAAACCAAAAGGCAGAAATAAAAACAAAGCCAGATGTAAGAGGAGTCTTTCTTTCATAGAGTGATTAGATAAAACTACTCTGACTCATGAAGTTTACATGGGTTGAAAAGAAGCCACTAAGGCATTTCTTCTGGAATTTTAAGGTGTTTCTAGACACACAAGAAAAGCAGAAGGGAGCCTCTATTTACAGAAACAGGAATAATACATTTGCCTAGCATCCTTCTCTTCTGATCATCAGCAGAGACAAATAATCCAAGCCTAGAGGGACTGATCTCATTTGAAGAGGTCCTACTCCCAAATGCTCTCTTCTGATTAAAGAAGCTTCAACCTGTTCCTCCTTTGTTTTTGTTAACTAACACATCTTTCCCCGTCATTCACTCATTGAGAAAAGAGAGGGTCTCAACATGAGATGGAAAAAAAAAAAAAAAAAAAAAAGGTAAGAAACAAAAAGTGGCCATGTCTGTTTCTCAAGCACAATTTATTTTTCCCTTTCTTTTTCTTTCTCTGTCATTATTTAGTGTAAAGATTATCAGGAGTCGGCCGGGTGTGGTAGCTCGCACCTGTACTTTGGCACTTTGGGAGGCCAAGGTGGGTGGATCACCTGAGGTCAGGAGTTCGAGATCAGCCTGACCAACGTGGAAAAACCCCGTCTCTACTAAAAATACAAAATTAGCTGGGCATGGTGGCACATGCCTGTAATCCCAGGTGCTCGGGAGGCTGAAGCAGGAGAATCACTTGAACCCGGGGGATGGAGGTTATGGTGAGCCTAGATCGTGCCACTGTAGTCCAGCCTGGGCAACAAGAGCGAAACTCCGTCTCAAAAAGAAAAGATTATCAGGAGTGAAAAAAGCTCATGACTTTTTTCCCCAAGGCATTGTATTGTATTTTACATTATTTGGCAGATGTTGGAATAATGAATGCTACTTATTGGTCAACAAACCATTACGTTTTTATAGTCCTTTCCCTCAAGGAAATTAAAATATTATTTTTATCTTTAAGTCTATATGTGTATCTGTTTTCAAACCCTTTAGAAGATCTCAAGAATGTTTTAGTCTTGTTTGACATTTCTTTCGGTTAAAAAAATCAAATTGTCTCTATTTTCTAGGCTTACCAAGAGACTAAAGAGTGAATCCCTGAAATCCGACTTTACAATAGATTTGAAACATGAGGTATGTCATGTTTTGTTTGATTAAAAGTCCTAGTAATCAAGATTTCATGTCCTTTGATATAAAAGGTGTTTCGCATTTTCTAACCGTGCATTTTCCCCACCCACATCCATCTTCTCCCCATAGAGATAATTTCACAGCACTCCAATGAATTAGGTCCTATCATTTTAAGTTCATTTCAGTTATGTAGGTGAAGACAGAACAGTGAAAAAGGTTGCATCTTGCGATTCATGATTCTTTGTTTTTAAGCTAGATGGATGGGTCCAGAAGTAGATTTCTAAAAACATGCAAAATGTCATTAAAAGTACCTCCTACTTGGTGCTTTGGTTGTACATATGCCACTATAGATTAAATGATCATGTCCCCCCAACCCTAATTCATACCTTGAAACCTGAGCCCCAGTGAAATGCTCTTTGGAAGTAGACCTGTGGGAGATTGTAAGGGTATTAGAGTGGAGCCCTCATGAATGGAATTAACACTCTTACAAAAGAGGTCCCAGGGAGTTTCCTTGCCCTTTGTACCATGTGAGGACACGGCTAGAAGTGCCATCCATGAACCAGGAAGCAGACCCTCACCATTGAATCTGCTAGTCCCTTGATCTTAGACTTCCCAGCCCACAGAACTGTGAGAAATAAATTTGTTGTTTAAACTCCAGTCAGTCTATGGCATTTTATTGTAGCAGCCTGAACAGACTAAGACATATGCCTTTGTTGTGTGTCTGTGGTTGGCCCTTTGGAGCAGAATTGAGCCAATTGGTCCCAAGCAGGCAGCCTAGAGCCCTAACACTCCTGGTTTCTTCACGTTTAGTGGACATCTGTAACCAGTTATCCTGGAGGCAGGTGGCAGGTGTCCCATCATTAATCATTCTCAAATCATCATTAAGAAGGCCCTTTCTGAATTTCATTTGTGGGCATGCCTGACTGTGTAAAACAGCCTTGCCTCTCATTCTCTGCAGGAACCTGTATGTTGGGACATGAAGGTAAATCTTGGCATGTAATTCAGTCCAGCAGTGCTAATGGCCTTCCAGGGACAAGAAGGCACACACAAGACTTTCTAACTTCTCAGGTGTCTTTAAATGATAATACAGAATATTTGAGTATAAATAAACATAATTATTCTCTTCTACAAAGATGAAAAAAATGATTCGTTGAAAAACAAGTTCTGCCTAGATAGGTTTAAAGAAAAGTCAGCTCTAGTATAGATACTTAGGTTTGGAAATCTACTAAACGTTGAATATATACGAAATAATATTTCTAACATATATGAAGGGTATAAAGATTAATGAACAGAATACTTAAGTAGCTTGCCTGGTTTAAGAAGGAGACCACTACCAGTTACCTTGAGGCTACCTATGTGCTTCTCCAGGAGAGGCCTCCTTCCATCTCCCCAAACGAAACTCTCTTGAATTCTCTCCCTCTTCCTTTTCTTCATATTTTATTATGTATGAATGTGTTTCTGAATAACATGTAATTTTGCATCCTTTTGGGCTTCATATAAACAAAATTGTATACAAATGATGCAGGATGTTTTTGCTCTTTAGTTCAGGTAATCTGGAATCTTGTCTTATGACCAGGAAGAATTAGGCACACAGACTGAAGGATGCGGAGGGTGGAATTTGTTTAATTTAGTGAAAGGAAAGCTCTCAGCAAAGTGGGGGGGGGGGGTCCTGCCAGCAGGTTTCCATCTCATAAAATGAGTACTGGGGGCCCCACACATGAGTTTAAGAGGCCACTCTCCTCCCCTCCGTAAGGTGCAAATTCCTGATGGCTCCACCCCATTACCCCAGTGCGTTTGGGCCTCCAGTCTGCTGTGGGCATGCCCAGGCAAGCCTCCTGTGGAGGTACTCTTATCCACACAAAACATTTGGTGTAAATACACACTTGTGGGGCAGATCAGAAAGTCTCTGGGGGTCTTTCCCTATTTTCCTAGGCATTTGGCTCTCTCCTACCTCTGTCACAAATACTGTTCTAATTTGAGACTCATCCATGTTGATGCATGCAGCTCTAATCAACTTATTTTTACTTTCTATAGTAGTCTCCCATATGACCATAATTATTATTTATGTCTTGTTAATGGGCTTCTGGGTGGCTACTGGTTGTTTGCTATTACAGCCATTGCTTCTGTGAATAATTTTGATGTGTTATGATGATCATCTTCAAGAGTTGGTCCAAGGCAGAGGCTTTTAAACTTTTTTTTTTTTTACTATGACCCACTTAAAAAAAACAAGTTTTCATCGTGATCCAGTATATTTGTGTGTGTGGTTGTGTTTTTGTCACTGATTTCTAACAGTATTATTGTAGTCTATACAATAGTCATTTGAAACACTTCTTGGCTCACTTTATGGCCTAGCTCACGTTCAGTTTTCATATCTGTTAGATTGAAGAAGGTATTAATGATGCTTTTTAGATATCTTATTTTCTTCCTTACTGCATTGCTTCAATCCTTCATTCTACATTTGTTTTGTCTGCTTATCATCTACTAAGGGGGGAATATAGAAATCTTCCATAATAATGCTGGAGTTCTTTTATGGAACTGCCAACTCTTGCTTTTTATACTCTAAGGCTATGTTAATTAGGTGCATAGGAACTTAGAATTGTTGCATCCTCTTAGTGAATTTGTCTCTCTTTAGTAATACTCCTTGTCTTAATGTTTATTTTGTTCATATGAATATTTCTATGTAAGCATTTTTTGGTTGCTTGCCTCATAATCATTTTTTGTCTCTTTCTTTCAACCCTTTTGTGTCCTTATCTTTTTTAGATGTGTCTCTTTTAAAGAGAACATGCCTTCCCCAACCCCTCCATTTTGAAAATCTTTATCCTTAAACCTGAGAGCAAATGTACCTTTGTGTTGGTTGTAGTTACTGATATATTTTATTTCTGTCACTTTATTTTGTACCCCTCTCCTTATTTTCTATTTTTCTTTTTTAAAGTTCCTTGTCTTCTTCTTTATTTACTTATTTATTAGTCCATGTTTTTCTTTTTCTGCTATTTTGGAAGTTGTCTGTCTGTACTTTACTGATTATTTTAAATATGTTTACATGCATTCTTAACCTATCAATGGTTTATTAATAGCCAGAAAATGTGAGGTCCTTAGGATGATGTAATTCTGATTATTCCACTCCCAACTTACATGCAATCTTTCAATATTTTTATCCCTTTTTCTTTTTGCCCTGGAAACTTGGATATCATTACTTGATGCAGTTCACATTTGTATTAACTCATCATACATTTGCCATTGTTTATGCTCATCGTTCCATCTTGCTTCTTACGCCTTCAATTGAACCATGTTATTCTTCCTGAAGTGTATCCTTTAGAATTTCTTTTAGTGAGGTGGTAAATTCTCTCAATATTTTTTCTTTAACAATATTTATTTCAACCCTTTTTTTTTTTTTTTTTTGAGACAGAGTCTCGCTCTGTCACCAGGCGCCAGGCTGGAGTGCAATGGCGCGATCTCGGCTCACTGCAATCTCCGCTTCCTGGGTTCAGGCAATTCTCCTGCCTCAGCCTCCTGAGTAGCTGGGATTACAGGCACGTGCCACCATGCCCAGCTAATTTTTTGTATTTTTAGTAGAGACGGGGTTTTACCATGTTGGCCAGAATGGTCTCAATCTCTTGACCTCCTGATCTCCTGATCTGCCCGCAGCCTCCCAAAGTGCTGGGATTACAGGACAACCTAGTTTTTGAAGCATACTTACATCATGTAGACGATTCTAGGTTGCTAGTCATTTTCTGTCATCACAATGGTATGCTTTCACTCTATTGTGGCTTCTGTTATTAAGCCGAGAAATCAGTCCTTGGTCTAATGTGGTGCCTTTGTAGATAATTTGTCGTTTTTCTGGCTCCTTTTAAGCCTCTTTGTCTTTGGCGTTCTGCAGTTTCACTATGATATGTCTGGATATAGACTCTTTTTTTCTAATCCTGTTTAGGGTTTATTGGGCCTTTCTCTCGTTGGCTTATTAAGCAATTTTTGGAGAATTTCAGCCATTGTTTTCTCAACTATTTTCTCATCTCTATTCTCTCTTTTACCTTCTCCCAGAACTTTAGATGGATGCTAGAGGAATGAACATTTTTTCATTTCTTCATTTTTTCATCTCTCTTTCTTGCTATGCTACCTTATAAATAACTTTGGGGGCATCATTCTTTAGTTTCTTAATTTTTTATTCATCACTGTCTAATATGCTATTAATCCTGTTAAATTTTCACTTTATTTTTTATTTCTAGAAGTTTTATTATTTTTCAAATGTGCTTGTTTTGTGTAACCTTTTTAAAAGATTTTTTCTCAAGTTTTAAAATTTTTCTTTTCTTTATAAAAATATGTTAAGCCTAGTAATTTTATAATTGGTTTGATAATTCTGGTATCTGAAGTCTTTTGAGTCTGGTTAAATTATGTCAGCTGGCTCTTGTTCATTATCTTACTTCTTTTTTGCGAGTGATTTCTTTTTCTCTGAGCATTTGTTCTGTGAGCATCCTTGTTTGTTTGGAAGAATCCTCTGAGGCTTATATTAAGGTTGTGGTTCCTTAGTAAGGATTTACATTAGTTTCTGCCTATTGCTAGTGGGTTATACTGACTTGGGATAATTTATCAGTTTGAGGTGTTTTGGGACCTCATAGGTGGCACAAATTAGGGAGGCCTCACTTTTGGTTGCAAAATCTAAGAGGAGATTTAGAGATTATTCTTTTCCATCTGTTTAGACCCAGGGTCCAAAGCTTTATGTAGAGGTTTGCTGTTAGCCACACCGCACCTTGGGTGGGTCATAGACTTCAGTCTCTTCACTCCTATCAGAAACTCAGCCTTGCCAGAGGTCAGCTAATACCTACTAGGGAAAACTATGCTTGGTGCTTCTTTCCCCCCAGGATCTCACATTCCCATTTTTGTTCTCACAGGTTCCACACTTTTGTGCCAACTTAGCAATACATTTAAATATTTAAGGGCATTTTATTTTACCCAATGTTTTCGGAGTTCTAAGCAAGTTTGGGATATGTAATTGCCATACTGTAGGAAACTGGAGACATAATAATATTATCTTAAATATTTCTCTGTGATGATGTTGTAGAATGTGTTCTTCCCTAAAACCGCTTATTTGGGAATTTTTTAGAGGTCAGAATATTGATTCATAGTTAATTTCTTATTGTTAGTAATAGATTAGATTTATTCATATGGAATTGCTGTTTTTTAAGTTTAAAAAGTCCTGTTGAATATTGACAAATTGATATGGTTCAACCTACTCTCTATGGAAGGTGTGTTCTGCTTTCCCTTGAGATATATTGTCCCTTCTTATACTTGTATTGACTGAGTTCTTTCATCACTGCCTGTCTCCTGTCTTGTGGCAGATTGCCCTCTATATCTGGGACAAAGGCGGAGGACCTCCCCTGACCCCAGTGCCCGAGTTTTGTACCAATGGTGTGGACTCCTACTGTGCTACCACATTCCATTCTTTTCTACCACTTTGTGTAAGTAACAGAAGAAAAACTTTGCATATCCAAGGAAGAATTTAGATGCTGTGCGTAATGTCATCCTAACACTTTAAAATAAATTTTAGATTCAGGGCATACATGTGCAAGTTTGTTATAAGGGCATACATCACGCAAGTTTGTATATTGCGTGATGCTAAGGTTTGGGCTTCTATTGATTCTGTCACCCAAATAGTGAACATGGTACCCAACAGGAAGTTTTTCCAAACCTTGCTTTTCTTCCTTCTTCCCCTTTTTTAGAGTCCCCGGTATCTGTTGTTCCTATTTTTATGTTTGTGCATACCCAGTATTTAGCTCCCACTTAAGTGAGAACATACAGTATTTGGTTTTGTGTTTCTGCATTAATTCACGTAGGATAATGGCCCCCAGCTGCATCCATGTTTCTGCAAAGTACATGCTTTCATTCTTTTTTATGGCTGCATAGTATTCCTTGGTATATCTGTACCACGTTTTCTTTATTCAATCCACCATTAATGGGCACCTAGGCTGATTCCATGTTTTTGCTATTGTGAATAGTGCTGCACTAGCACGTTACATACTGAAAAGAAAATCAACATTTTCCCTGTGTCAGGTAAGAACTATTTACCTTGTCTCTAGTAATAACAGTCCTACAAGGTAAGTACTATTGTAACTCCATCTTACCAATGAGGAGCGAGAGGCACAGAGAAGCCAAGTGCTTGCTTATGGCTACACAGCTAGTAGGGAGGTAAGCGAGGGTTCTGATGGGCTCTGCTTTACTCCAGAGCCTTTGTGAGGGACTGCCCACCATAGTACTTTAGGGCTAGCGTGCCCAGAGTCATTTTTTTTGTTGATGATATAGGATGCATTGATTGGAATTTCTATTCCATTTCCCAGAAATGCAATTTCCAGTGCTTTCTGTGACACCCAAACCTTCTCCACAAGCCCAGACCCTTTACTCTCTCAGGATGGGGCTCTGCCAGCCACTGACACTTTCAGAATGAACCCACTTGTTTTGGCAGACCCAAGGTCCAGCCCTAGTGTAAGCCTGGAGACCCTGACACTCAGTAGGTGTTAACAGCTTTTCTCATAAGGGAAAATAGGTTCACCAACCTCAAATGGTGTCATTATTCTCAAGTCCGTCACGCAGAAGTCTGTGTGCCATTTTAACACACACACACAGACACACACACACACACACACACACACAAAACACAGTGCAGCATTGGGAGAGAATCTGTAATGTGTTTGCAGTTCCAGAGTGGGAGACCAGTCTTTCTAGGCAGAATGCTTGCTTGCTCTTTCAGTGCTCTCCTAGTGCTTTAAGTGACATGACAAAGCTGTAGTTAAATGTCACTATACATCAGCCCCAAATGATGTGGGAGTCATGATTGAAATATGATTGCAGGCCTAAGACAGGCAATAAAGGGGTCATAAAGGGATTGGCTGTACCTTGTGGACAAATCCCTCTTTGTGCCCCCTTTCATCTGTGTGATCAGCCTGGGCTCCAGGACTACCCCCACCTCACCTCCACCAGGTGTTTGAAGGAATCCTACCTTTGGCAGAGGAGCAAACATCCTTAGCCTAGTGCTTGGGTAGCCAGTAAAGAGGCCATAAAAATCTTTTCAACATTAAAGTCAGGCCAGACCCAGAAAAGGGCAACATCTGTTATATTACACTAAAATATCCCTCTATTTCTTTCTTTTTGTCAAAATCTCCACCATCTAGAGAAAGGAAAGGAGAGGTAACTAACATTTATTGGTCACTTACTATGTTCTTAATAAATTATAGTAATAATGGCAGCCTTGCGGTGGTTATTATTTCCTTTTTCTAAACAAGCAGACTGAAATTCTGAGAGCTTAAGAAACTTGTTGAGGGGATGCACATTCTCTGCATGGCGGAGCGGGCAGGTCCAGGGCTGGCGGACAGAAAGGCCATGTTGTCAGCTGACCTGTGGTTCCATTTCTCCCCTAAAACTTTATCCGGGAAATATGTTTGATATCCTTGACATTGGTTAATTTGAACTCTAGAGCATGTGAGATCTAACGTGGGTGTGAAGTTAAGATAACGCTGACTCATATATGCATATATTTTTTCTTTTTTCTTTTTTTTTTTTTTAGGGAAAGCCAGTGAAGAAGAAGGATATTTTTGTTGCAGTAAAAACATGCAAGAAATTTCATGGTGACAGAAGTACGTTTTGGGTTATTCATTTTATTGAATGTTTAAAATTCAAACTACCTTTTTAAAAATGTACAAATGAATTTTTGAGTATAAATTCAGAATAGGGATAATGACAATTAGGATGTTGAAGTGAACGCAGTTATTAATCGCTATTCCTCATTGCACCATTTCAGTCACCAAGATCAATTAGGGAGGAAAATTTTGCATTGAAACATGAGTCGTCATAGCCAATACTGTTTATAGCAGTAGTTTAAATTGGAAATGGAAAAGCTCAGTGTGGCAGTTTTGGAGATTGTATGAAAAATGATCTGTTTTGTCAAACAACGTATTAGGTCCATGTACAGTCTCTAAACTGGATGAAGAATGTCAGAGGGGATATCAAGGTAACAGCGTGCCAACAAAGAATACTCTCTTGAAGACTTTTTCTTCTTTTCCAATTTATTTCAAATGCATACCTTGGAACTTAATAAAGAGATGTATTTCCTCATGAGTAGATAATATTGGAGAAGAAGAAAAAGCTGCTGTACAGTGAATCTCTTAAGGAAATCCTGGCATGGAGATTAATGTTGTTTTTATTCAGGTTTTTGATGTCATTACAGAATTCTGCTAAGTTGTGGTGATAATGTGGGGAAAAAAAGCCCATCCTAAATATAAATAGACATAATTTCTCTCTTTTTGCACCTTATTTCAAGCAACACTTTTCTGAAGTTGAAAATTAGGCTGTCTTTTGCATATTCTAATTTTAGTGTAGATTTTAATTTTTTTCCCTTGAAAAGACTGTCAATTTCACCAAGGATGTGATATTTATGTAGGAGAGATTTCTAAACCAACTGTCATTTTCATGGGATTGGAACTACTGGGAAAGTTTATTTATATATTTTATGGGATAATACAATACATACAAATTATGTTTTAAAGGAGAAGATGTTTTCCAAATAAAATAATATTATAGTTTGGGATTAAAGTATTGTCTAAGACATTAACATCAATTAAAATCCAGCTATAATCAATTATATCATAAAATTACATTAACTATAAACCTTCACATTTGCCTAAAATAGCCACATTAAATTCCACATCCTATTAAATCAGCCTAAATGAATATGTATATTTGTTATACAAGGAGTCTTAGGCTGCTATGAAGAATTAGCATAGCATTTAAAATTTTTATTTATTATAAATTTAACTTTAATATCTTTTAACTTTTTTCATAATGTGAAAGGGTTTGGTGGGATGATTTTGACAAATACTTTCTTTAAAAAGGTATTGGAGAAATGAACTATACTGCTTTTTGTTTTATGTCTTTTGCAGCAAGCAGGAACTGTTCGAGTTGATTTAATTGTTCTTGAAGCTATGCTTGGAGTAGTGATTGTTTTCACAATATTAATGTTAAGAATGGTGTTGATGGTATTTTTTCTTTGAAACACATTTTTCAAGTCACAGTGAATCACTAAAATTAGGGATACTCCCTATTGTATTTTTTATATTCTACAGAAATGAAAAGAAAATTGGTTAATTTTGATTTAGTAATTTTGAGTAATCTAGTTTACTGCTTTCTTATTTTGCGTAAGTTTGAGATAATCTTCAAAAGCCTTTAAAAATTACAAAATCTTAAAAGTCCATTAGGAGCATTAGAAACAAACCTCCCAAAGCCAGATGCATTGATTTACTGCTGTTAATTTGAATGTGGGATTATTAAAGTATGAGGCCTAAAATGTATCATGAAGTTTTCATATTTGGGTTTCTGTGGTAAGCCATTTTTCAACTTGGATATGTTTGTTTGAAAAGATAGTCTAAGGCAACAGGATTTCAGTGACTTTGAAGTCCATTTTGCATGATGGAGGTGTAACCTGCCAGGCCATTGGGCTCTGCCCCTTGTTTTAGAAGCCTAGTCCAGCCACCACTTGGCCTAAAGAGTTATCTGGTTCTATCAGTTACAAGGACAACACCACACTGCTTCTGACTGCTCATCTTTTATACATTTTCTGGTGTGTTTTTCACATATGTTCTGTCATCTAATTTCATGTTGACACTTCCTTGTGATATGATAATTATTGTTATTCACTTGTAGAAAAAGCTGAGTGTGGAATGATACACAACTGGCCCAGTTTCTGCTATCCTGTTGAGTAGCAGAGCCAACGACTTGGGTTTTCTGGCTCCTAAATCCCATGTTTTTTCTACCACAGCACAGCTATACTGTAATCTTCTTGTATATATTACAAACTCAGTGCTTGATGAATAGTCTTTGATATTCATGTTGATGTCCTGCTATGCTCAAGGTCAGTTTTGACTTGGCCAGAAGCTGTGAAATTAGGCTTTCCATTTTTAGTAGCAATGGGAATGGCAAGGAATTGAAACCCACCAGGATCTAAAATACAAGTCGAGCTGAGAATGTAGACTGCCACTCCTGTCTAAGCATATCACTACTACAGTCAAGCAAATACATTGTCTGGGGTGTTTTTGTTTTTTCCATATTTTCCTTTCTCTGTGCACTCTGTGGTAGAAATACTTTAGTAACAAAGGCCAAATGATGAAGGAAAAAAATCTAGATAAGAAACTGTATTTATCTTTGCCAAGTCGAGAGTGGGCTGTACGGTTAATTGTGGGCACAGTGTTCTCTGGCACTGAGTGGCGATGACCCCCACTCCTGTTTCATTATAGTGTTGATCACCTCCTGGGATGAGGAGGAGAGACGAACATGTTCTGTTCAAGGCCCTAGTCACAGAAAGGGAACATATAGGTTGCATTTATTTTTTATGCTCTCATGGAAGAATTGATAATAAAACCAAATTTCAAAATGAAAAAACAAATTTAAATATTGTACTTTGTTTGCTTGATGACACATTTATGTAATTGCTTTTGTCTGGATTCTCATTTAAGTGAAATACAGCATTCTTAGAACACAATAAGCAAAAACATATTCTGTCTCTTGATTCAAGGAAGTAATGCATGTTGACATCATTGAAACAGCAACAACAGTCTCTGAGAGGCAAGCATTTAGTAGGGTTTTAAAGAAACTTGAGAACTGTTAGATAAGGTGATGAATTGAGCATAGCATGTAAAATTATATTAAAGCAAGGAAAAGATCTCTGGTGTTTTAATATTCAGCTTGATTGCTTACTCTTGGGTTCTGTGTTTCCCACTGTGTGACGTGAGCTGTCAGAAAACCTTAAGTTTTCTTTGCCTCATTCTGCCATGCAGTTTGTGTGCACGCTTCATGTACCTTGTGGCAGCTGCTGGTTTTGTTCATCAAATGGTGGGTTGTGGGATGCTCTCCTGCAGTTTCCCTCTAATTAAAGAGGTTAAATTTCTGTTTCCTCAGCCTTTAGTTCCTTTTCACAGTTTCCTAAGCTCTTAAAAATTAGCACCATATTCCTCGTAGATTTAAAAAAAAAAAAAAAACCTGTTTGCTGTCTTTGCTGCTGTGATCTTGTCTAGAGGCAAATCTGAACAAACTGATTGAGGGGGTGTTTGGTGGCTGATATTCTCTGACTAAAGAGGTTTACCTGTACTGTGGTGCAATCTGCTTACTTAAAAGGTGAGGCTTGAATTAAAACATAGCCAGATAGAAGGCCAGTCTCTAATTAAATGAGTGATTATCAGATCAATGACTGAAGAGAGGAGAGGAGTCAGGTGTTGGCTTTCCCAGGCTGTTGAATAGCTGTTGTTCCAGATTGCCCCAAAATGTTGTGTTAGCTCATGCAGGAGGGATGCTTTTCAGTCTTGGGTACATATCAATCTTTAAAATGTTGAATTAGGACACACTTATGTGTGTCTCCCTAACCTGCTCCTGAGGAGAGAAATGCAAACAGGGTCTTATTTTCTTGCTATTCACTTGCATGCTGAGACAAAAGAGCCATCTGCAAACAATATAGTGGATTCCTTAAAAATTATTCACGTTTGATGGTGTGGTAGTTTAAATAAAATGTTCAAGCATCAAATTCCTTTTCATTTATAATCTGAGACACTTTTCCAAGTCACTTCCCTGGGGGTAAAAATGCATGTTTTCTCCTCATAGTGAGACACATCTTCTGCTTAGAGTCTAAAAAGCTCTACGGAAGATTTATGCCATCTGTGCAGCTGGCATTTTTATAGTAAAATTTTTACTTTGCTCCAAATTTAAGTTATCTTGTGACGAACTTTCTTGAAAGAGGCATTCACTATTATGTGATAGGAATTATGCTTCTCTATTGAAAAGGAGATAATGTATCAGGTAACTTCTTGAGGTATTTTCTCAAAGTTTAACATCTTTAGGAATACAGTGCCTCAATACAATATAAAATATTTTGTCAATAATAGAATTAATTCATTGTATAATTTAAATGATGCTAATGAGTAAACCAATACTTTAAAAGTTTAACTAATTTAGACTCAACCCTGGTTGAAAATAAAGCCTTAAGCTGTTATTATAGAAGACTTTAAATCCTTTACAGCTAAAAGATGACAGAATCATGGGGGTTATATTGACAAGGAGAGAGATGTACAAACTGTTGAGTGCTTTAGGTATTATAGAATCATAATATCTTAGTATATTTAAGTAGTTGGCTTATTTTAAAATGATCAATCAAAGGCTGAATTGCCTTTATGAATAAAACTTTCCTTTAACTAGTTTCCACAAATAATCCTAGGCCTTTTATTGAAATGCCTACAAAATTCAGTCCTCATTCAACTATTCATTGAGTACCTACTATGACCTAGACACTATGTCAGGTGTTGGGAAAGAAGTTATACACACAATAATTCTTTGGTGTGATTCCTGTTTTACCTGTTTCAAAGTAAAAGAGAAAGCAAAAGTGCTAACTCTCCCTTGAATTTGATTTTAATTTTATTTAAATCAGTTAATTGAGAAGAAACACCTGTGTCATTTAATAAATCTATTAGGGCAAAGAGGACTGAAGGCCTAAAGGCTGAGGAAATCTGAAAGCAGAATTTGCACAGCCTGCAGGACCCTCGCTGGGGACTGAGGAAAGTTCTTGACCTTTCCTCACAGCTTCTTCCACCATTATGCATTGGAGGATATTTTACCCAACAGTGTGAATTTTTAGTGGCTGCAAGCTGCAGGGAGCCCTTTGTGGGGTAAGTTCTCTTGCTTATTATGTGCAAAGCAAACTGTCACAGCAGTGCCAGGGTTAACATTTTTGTTGTGCTGAAATTGGGAAGTAAAACAGAGTGAAATTTTTTAAAATCTTTTTTCTTTTTCTTGTCCCCTGCCCATAGCCCTATATGTTTAATCTTTGATCATTTTCACATGTAGAAACCTTTAGAACTGTCTACTTTTCTATGGCTGCAGAAAAATTATATTTTAATATATAAAAACAATATTTAACTGGCAATTTGGTAATAATTTTAGCAGGTGTGCAGAACTCAGCTTTTTTTTCCTTTAAGCCAATGAATGAGAGATTATAAAATGGTGCACTTTTGAATTTTCTACATAAGGGCTGTCTGCGCTGGACTTAGAATTTGCTTACTTACTAAACACTTAAATTTTACACTGGAATGTCAGTTTTTGCATATATTTTGATTTCAGTTGGGAATAGGGGAAAGATACATGATCTGATAAAGTTTCTCAAAAGTGAAGATTTGGTTCATCAGAGTTTTGATTCTTAACAGGATATAAATTTAAAATTTTTTTCCATTGAAAAAACAAGAAACCACTTTTTAAAATTCAGAAATGCATATTCTTCTATGTTTCTTCATAGAAGAAAATAATTACTTGATCAGATGAATTAATATCAAGTAGTGGTAAGTCTGTATGTCAGGCATGCAGACAGAGCTGTCTTTGAGCATCCAAACCGAAAATACAGAAAACCAGGGTAGCTTTCTGTTGTATTTATTGTGTTAAAGCAATGTAGCTGCTAATGATAGAGTTTTCAAGGCTGCAGTACTTGTGAATCTTATTTCTTCCACATTTTTCAGAAGTACGTCATAATATCAGTTATTATATGCAGTAATTCTCATTTGGCAAGGTCGTGTCCTTTGTAGGGTTGGGTAGTTCTGTTAGAATCTTTGGGTGGGAAGGTGTATGGTTTGCAAAGGTCTTTCCATGCTCCATGGTAAGAGGGATGGATTTTCTCTTACCGTGTTCCATGGTAAGAGAAAAATTAGTTAACATTAATGTAAACACAATAGCATAATCAAACCAGAAAATTTATCATTGTAATGAAGTAAGTGTGTTCATCACAGGAATGAGAAATGCTGTACTCTAGAGAAACCTGCTTCAAAAACAGGGTTTTAGTCATTAACGTTGGCATTTCTAAGGGTTGGAAGCAAGCAACTCTCGGAACACCTGAAGAACAAGTAATGTTTCTCTTCCCTTGTAGGTGATTATACTGCTGTTTTGAGTTTTCACGCTTCCCTATATAACTGTGCCAGTGATTGTCACCTCTATAATTTTTTCAGTACCTATTGTTAAACAGACTTGGGAGAGCCAGGCCAGTCTTATTGAATACTACAGTGACTATACTGAAACTTCCATTCCTACTGTGGATTTGGGAATTCCTAACACAGATAGAGGTGAGTCCATAATTCCTACTACTCTCCTTATTAAACATCCTCATTCTGTAAATGTAGTAAATTAGGTTAGGATAAAAGTGAAATATTTTATAAATGCTGTTATTTTTGCGTCATATTAGTTTTTTTCCTTCTTTCCTCACAGATATAGATTGGTTCTTTGAAACTAAGGGCTTTCTAGTCCAAAGTGTTGCAAGTTTTTAGTAGGTTATATCCTATAATTGAGCACGCGATGGTTACAATAGAGTTTAACAATAGATTTTTCATACCTTCATAATTCTTTGTGGCCATAATGGGGTGTTTAAAGTTAATTTATCATATTTCTACACAAAGCTTCTATCCTTGTCAGTCTTATAGTCTAGTTCACATGTTATAGTACCTGTGAGTACCACCTAACCACATTCTACACCAGTTATATGTAGAATAAACTCTATTCTATATGTTAAGATTTTAATTAGTAAATTGTTGGAAATAAACCTGCTTTTCTCTTCAAATTGCAGGCTTTCTAATTAAAAATACTTTTTAGGACTTATAGAGTGGAATGGTAGACACTGGAGACTCAAAACGGTGGGAGAGCAGAAGAGGATGAGGGATGAGAAATTACCCACTGGGTACGATAGATACTCTTCGAGTGATGGCTTCACCAAAAGCCCAGACTTCACCACTGTGCAATATATCCATGTTACAAAACTGCACTTATACCCCTTAAATCTATAAAAATTTAAAAAAATTATTTCCAAAAATTGGAAGTATAAATTTGGCCACCTCATCTTCAGATATTTATTCATCTAAAGTTTTATTCAATATTCTTGCAACCCTTTTTTCTTGAGTTTTTTTGTTCCCTATGTCCTTTTACGAGTAAAATAGGAGGAGTAAACTGATTTTCTTGTTCTATACAGTAATGTCTTGATTATTTTATGTTAGTGTCATCCATAATTCCTTCATTAATATAGTACAATGCAGAATCAGATCTATGCCATTTCTGTAGTTACCAGTTCTTCCTACAAGGTTAAGTGTGTTACTGAGTCTGTCTATTGCTGTTTGATTTGGAAAAACTGTTTTAGATTGGGTTTAGTAATCATGTATTTACTTATGCATTCCTTATTTGATTTCTTCATTTCTAGTCTGATCATATTATTGTTTATATTTATATTTATTCTAAAAGGAATTTGAGATGGCTTTCAAACATACATATTATAATGGTTAAAAATGAGTAAAGAGATCAAGAGTAAAGAAAAAAAGGTCAAATTGAGTGGTTTAAAGTCATTAATATAAGTTAATATTAGTTTATTCTCCACTGTGTCACCAAATACTTGATTAAAATGAGGGGCATATTCCTGTTTATCAGTTTGACTACTCTTCCCGAGTATTTTATTTTGGTCCTAGCAAAATTTTGGTCCTTTAAAGCAATGTAATTTATCTGTTGGTGTCTGAAGGACTGTTACTCTGTCTTACTCAACACTATCATTAGTGCTTATCTTAGTACCTGCCACAGTAACTGGCACGTTAGAGACTTAGTGGTAGTAAATATTTACAAAATAAATAAATGAACCCCGCATAAGCTTCCACCTTTGCACTGTGGCTTCCCTGTGGCAGTGTTGCTTGGGCTTCTAACAGCTCCTTCAGAATAAGCGTATCTAAGAAAAGATGGCGGGCATCTATCATTGCTGTGAGTCTTAAAACTTTCTTACTTGGACTGAAGATACTAATTCCATCTCTGTCTCAAATTATCTGTGTGTGTAATTCCACCAGTCTCTCTAGGTCTCCATTTTCTCACATGTGAAATGAACGGCTTGGATTTGATTATCTCTAAAGTTCATACTGATTCAATGTGTCTATGAAAATTAGAGAAGGCTATTTTTAAAAATTTTGAACTTCTAAGGTGCATGTTGACATGTAAGCTCTTACAACACTTGAAAACTAAAAAGAAATTAATGAATTCTATATATTTTGTAGAAAATAATACATTGTAAGTTTTCTTCTTGACTTTTCTAGGTCATTGTGGAAAGACATTTGCCATTTTGGAAAGATTTCTGAATCGTAGCCAGGACAAAACAGCATGGTTAGTCATTGTGGATGATGACACGTTGATAAGGTAAGGAGTCATTCTCATCTTAAATGGCTTTAAATTCTATGTATATTCATACTCAAAAACTACATGAGTACCTTTTCTGGCCAAGATGAAGTAACAGGGATGGGGTTTACTCCTTTAGCTGAACCAACCCTCTCCAAAAACAAAATATAAAAAACAAAGGTACTTATGACACTGAATATTAGGTGCAAAGGAAAATGATCCAAAAGAAACATGAAGAAAATGAGGTGAGTTCTGTGACTGCCACCACTGACCGCCTTAAGAGAGTTCAAAGTACTGCATAGGGAGAGAGCACCAGATGGAACCTGACAGACTCTTTTGATTGAAAAGATGGAGCTTGGAGTCTCAGGAGACCAAGGCTGTTAGAGTTTGCATGCAGGACAGAGTACCAGAGAGCAGAGAGCTGTACAGGAAGGGAACCCTGGAGATATGTGGAGAGTCCCCTTAAGTATTCAGTAGAATATTGATCAGTGCATATGTGTGAGGAAACTACTCATTGCTAGGGAAAGACCCAGCCAGACTAGAGGGAATGGTGCCTGACACTCACATAGGCCTGGGTATAATACCCATTCCCACTAACCAGGCTGGAAAACCCCTTATTCACAAGGTATTGTCTTGCCTCAACAGCGGGGATAGTTAATAGTTAACCATAGACTAAGCACTTCTCTAGTCCTCCCTAACATATCTGAAAAGCCAGATGCAAGAAAGTGAAACTGGTTCCAAGTAATAACCTATGTCTGAGAACAAAACTCAAGAAGACTGAAGAAATACAAAAATAACCAGCGTCTGATAAAGTAAAATTCATAATGTCTACCATCCAATCAAAAGTTGCCAGGCATATAAAGCAGCAGGAAAATAAGGAAGTGAATAAAATTAGCTTATTGAAATGGTATCAGAATGTATACAAGTTTAGAATTAGAAGTTAACAAACTGTTACTATTAAATAGTTATTTTACCTCTGTTCCATATGTTCAAAAAAGAGACATGAAACAGTTTTAGTCTTAAGTAAGTTGAAATCATACCTCTAGAGATGAAAACTGCGTTTTCTGAGGTAAAAAATACCCACTGGATGGGTTTAATAGTAAATTAGACATTTCAGAAGAAAGTACCAGTGAACTTGAAGACATTGCAGTAATAACTATCCAAAGTGAAACACAAAGATAAAAAATAATTTTAGAAAATTAAGAGCATTACTGAGCTGTGAGACAATTTCAATTGGCCTTGAATATATGCAGTTGAAATCTCCAAAGAGAAGGGGCCCATAAATACTTAAATATTTTTCAAATTTAATGAAAACTGTAAACCCACAGATCCAAGAGTCTTAATAAACCCCAGGCACACCATGAGCACAAAAGCAGAGAACAGCTGCCTCCAGGAATGCCATAATGGACACTTAGGACAGTACCCACCTGCCCTGCTCTGGGCAGCTGTGGAACTGAGGACTAGCATACTCAACCCATTGCAGCTACCAGCAACACCAACATGGACCTCTTGGGTCTCGGTGTGTTGCTCCACCACCACTACTGCCATCACTCACATCAAGAGGGCTGAGAACTTTTCCACATACCTAGACCACTGCTCTCATTACTAGCTTCTAAGCAATTCACCTGGAGTCCCAAGAATCAGCCTTTCTGGATCCTCTAACACTGCAGCCAGCATAAGCTGCTCTACGGCCTAAAAACAGGCATATTTACCCTGCTGCTGTCACCTCTGGGGCGCAAAGACTGACTCAGTTGGCATCCAAATCCCCAGCCTAACTTCACAGCTTCAGCTAATCCCCATACCCTAAGCCACTGAGGAAATTACACATACCACTGACCTTGTGTACTGCTGAAAAAGTCACTTGAAGACCACACTACAACAGCACCAAAAATCAAAGCCAAGGTGTCTTACTTAACCAACAATGTACATTTATCTTCATGAAAAATATTCTCTCCTACAAAAGAAATTCTTAAAAATTGGAACAAGCAATACAAGATATGCAATGGAATGAAACAGGAAACATGAAAAAACAAGAAAATATGATACCACCAAAGGACTACAGCAATTTTCTAGGAACAGATCCCAATCAGAAAGAATTACTTGAAATAACGGATAAAAAATGCAAAATATTGATTTTAAAGAACCTCAGTGAAGTACAAGAGAAACCTGAAAACCAATACAAATAAGAAAATCAATTCAAGATATGAATGAGAAATTTACCAGGGAGATTGATATCTTTAAAAATTCAAACAAATTCTGGAACTGAAAATTCACTGAAGGAAATACAAAATGCATTTGAAAGCTTCAATAATAGACTAGATCAAGCAGAAGGAGGAATTTCAAAACTTGAAGACAGGCCTTTGAAATAATCCAGTCAGATAAAAGTAAGGAAAAAAAGAATGAAAACAGCCCTCAAGATGTCTTGGACTGTACAAAATGATCAAACTTATGAATTACCAGTATTTTTGAGGAGGAAAAGAGATCAAAAAGTTTAGAAATCCTACTGAAGGAAATAAGTGATGAAAACAACCCAAATCTAGCAAAAGAGTTAGATATTTAAATGCAGGAGATTTGGTGATCTTCATGTAAATACACTGCAAAAAGGACTTTACATGGCATATAATATTCAGAATGTTTAAATTCAAGTGAAAGAAAGAATTTTTAAAATTAGCAAGAGCACAAAGAAACCTTATAGGCCAAAAAGTGTGAGATGGCATTTTGGCCATTGTACTAAAAAGAAAACAAAAAGAACAACTCTGAGCCAAGAATTTTATATCCTGCCAGAATAAGCCTTACAGATAAAGGAGAAATAGTCTTTCTCAGACAAGGAAATTTTGAGGGAATTTGTCACCACTAGACTGGCCCTACAGACAGTTCTCAGAGGGCTCTTAAACATGGAAACAAAAGGTTGATACTCACTGTCACCCAGACACATGAAAATATAAAACTCACAGGTCTTATAAAACAAAAAGCATGGAATCAAATGGAAATGTGACTAAATTTCATAACATAAAGACAGAGAAAAAGAATGAATTTATTCTAGAAGACAACGGTACAACAGGAACAAAGCCTCACATATCAAAATTAACCTTAAATATAACTGGATTAAATGCTTCACCTAAAAGATACAGATTGCCGGAATGGATTTTTGTTTGTTTTATCTGGCATTTTCCAATAACTTTGGTCATATTTTTTTGTATTACTATTATACTTTAAGTTCTGGGATACACGTGCAGAACATGCAGGTTTGTTACATAGGTACACACATGCCATGGTGGTTTACTGAGCCGATCAACCTGTCATCTACATTAGGTATTCCTTCTAATGCTATCTCTCCGCTAGCTCCCCACCCCCTGACAGGCCCCAGTGTGTGATGTTCCCCTCCCTGAGTCCATGTGTTCTCATTCTTCAACTCCCACTTATGAGTGAAAAATGGGATGTTTGGTTTTCTGTTCCTGTGTTAGTTTGCTAAGAATGATGGTTTCCAGCTTCAGTCCCTGCAAAGGACATGAACTCATCCTTTTTTATTGCTGCATAGTATTCCATGGTGTATATGTGCCACATTTCCTTTATCCAGTCTATCATTGATGGGCATTTGGGTTGGTTCCAAGTCTTTGCTATTGTGAATCAACTTCAGACTGCTGTGCTGGCAGAGAATTTCCAGCCAGTGGATCTTAGCTTGCTGGGCTTTTTAGGGGTAGGATCCACTGAGCTAGACCTCTTGGCTCCCTGGCTTTAGTCCCCTTTCCAGGGGAGTGAATGGTTCTGTCTTGCTGGCTTTCCAGGCACCACTGGGGTATGTTAAAAAAAAAAAACAAAAACAAAAAACTCCTACAGTAAGCTTGGTGTCTGCCCAAACGGCCACCTAGTTTTGTGCTTTACACCCAGGGCTCTGGTGATGTAGGCACCCAAGGGAATCTCATGGTCTGTGGACTGTGAAGACTGTAGGAAAAGCGTAGTGTCTGAGCCGGAATGTACCATCCCTCAAGGCACAGTCCTTCATGGCTTCCCTTGGTTAGGGGAGAGAGTTCACTAAACCCTTGTGCTTCTCAGGTGAGGCAATACCCCACTGTGCTTAGGCTCACCCTCCATGGGGTGCACCCATGGTCTAACCAGTCTCAGTGAGATGAGCCAAGTACCTCAGTTGGAAGTGCAGAAATCACCCACCTTCTACATTGATCTCACTGGAAGTTGCAGACTGGAGCTGTTTCTATTCAGCCATGTTGCCAGCCACCTCCTGTTTTGTTTCGTTTTGATAATTATTTCTCATAGTTTGGAGGCTGGAAGCCTGAGATCAGGGTACCAGCATGGTTGGGTTCTGCTGAGGGCTCTCTTCTGGGTTGTAGACTGCTGACTTCTCATATCCTCAAATGGTGGAAAGAGAGCAAGCTAGTACTGTGGCCTCTTCTTAGAAGGGCACAAATCTCATTTTTGAGGTCTCCACCCTTGTGATCTGATCGCCCCCTCAAAGGTCCCACCTCTGAATACCTTCATATTAAGGATTAGATTTCAACATATGATAAATTTTAGGGGAATACAAACTCATTCCACAATTGCTACTAGTCTCCTCTTAGTATAGATTATCAAATACTAAGAAAAGGAAAGATCTATTTTTCAATAGAATTGATGGAAAAACACTCTAAAATTATCTGATGGTTTTTTAATCACCATCTGATTCATCCACAATATGTTTCTTTTTCTTTCTTTCTTTTTTTTCTTATTGTGGTAAAATACACACAGCATAAAATTTACCCTCATAACCATTTTTAAGTGCACAGTTTAGTAGTACCAAATACATTCGTAATGTTGTCTAGCCGTCTCCATAACTCTTTTCATTTTGTAAAACTGAAACTCTATATCCATTAAACAATAACTGTATACCCTCCCCCATTTCCTGGCAACCATCATTCTGTTTTCTGCCTATATGATTTTGACTACCCTAAGTACCTCATATAAATGGAATCGTACAGTACTTGTGTTTTGGGTGTGTGTGTGACTTGCTTATCTCACTTAGCATAATG